ATGTAGCCTTGAGAAGTGTTGATGTGGTTTTATATATAAATAAAAATATATGTGTGTACATATATATATGTACATACATATAAATATATGTACATACATATATTTGTACATATATGTACATACATATAAATAAATATATATGCACATATATATGCGCATACATATGTATTTACTTATTTATTTAAGAACCAGAATTACAGAGAGAGTTCTTGCATCCCCTGGCTCACTGCTCAAATGACTACAACAGGCAGCGTTAGACCAGGCAGACGCCCGAGCCAGACAACCCATCCAGGTCGTCCACATGAGGCAGGATCCCAAATACTTGGGCCATCATCCACTGCCTTCCTTGGTATATGGACGGAAGCTAAATCAGAAGCAAACTAGCCAGGCTTTAAAACAGCATTCTGATGCAGGATCACAAGCAGCAGTTTAATCCACTGGTCCACATCAGCCACATAGTAGCCCGGGTTTAACTTAAGATTTTTAACAAGAAGATATTTTGGGGGCCTGGCGCAGTAATCTAGTGGCTAAAGTCCTCACTTTGGGCGAGCACTGGGATCCCACATGGGCGCCGGTTCTAATCCCGACAGCTCTTCTTGCCATCCAGTTCCTTGCTTGTAGCCTGGGAAAGCAGTGGACATCGACCAAAAGCCTTGGGACCGTGCACCTGCGTGGGAGACCTGGAAGAAGCTCCTGGCTCCTGGCTTTGGATCGGCTCAGCTCCGGCCATTGCGCTCACTTGGGAAGTGAATCATCTTCCTCTCTGTCTCTCTGTATACATATCTGACTTTGCAATAAAACTAAATAAAATCTTTTAAAAATGAAGACATTTTAAAAATTTTGTGAAAGATTGAATTTCAATTTATTTTTGTGTAAAAATATTTTGATGTCTGCACATTGCTTTTCCATAGTACACATTTTCATGAACATTTTGAACACCCATCATATGAACAAACTGAAATACACTATGCTTTATGCATGTGTTTTTGTAATAAGCATATTTACATTGTAATAACTATGTTTATGTATGTGGAATGGTATACACTGCAATATTAATGATAGCAATGGTTCAGTAATAGGATTATAAGCAGTTTTTTTTAATTCTCGGTTTTATTCTATTTCTGTAAACTACAGTGTATTTTCTAATAATATATATATTTTTAAAAGATTTATTTTATTTTTATTTTTATTGGAAAGGTAGACATACAAAGAGGAGGAGAGACAAAAAAGAAGATCCTCTGTCCGATGATTCACTCCCCAAGTGACCACAACAGTTGGGGAGCTGTGCTGACTCCAAGCAGGAGCCAGGACCTCTTCCAGGTCTCCCACACGGGTGCAGGGTTCCAAAGCTTTGGGCCATCCTCAACTGCTTTCCCAGGCCACAAGCAGGGAGCTGGATGGGAAGCGGGGCTGCTGGGATTAGAACCAGTACCCATATAGGATCCTGGTGCATGCAACGTAAGGACTTCAGCTGCTAGGCTGCAGCGCTGGGCCCCTAATAGTATTTTAATTAAAGGATTATAAATTATTCTTTTAATAATTTAGTGTGTAATTATTTCCTAAAAGCTAACTAACTATGAGGGCCAGCATGATGGCATAAGCCTTCACCTGCAGCACCACCAAAGTATGTGAATGCTGGTTTATGTCTTAATTCTGATGTAACTCCCTGCTAACATGCCTGGGAAAGCAGTGAAGGATGGTCCAGCTCTCTGAGCCCGTTCAACCTTGCGGGAGATCCAGAGGAACTTCCTGCCTCCTGGCTTTGGACTCGCTGTGTTCCAGCCTTTGTGGCCATTTAGAGAGTGAACCAGCAGGTGAAGGAGCTCTCTCTGTTTATCTCTCCTTTGTCTGCAACTCTGTCTTTCAAAAAATAAACAAATAAATCTTTTCTTTGAAATAAATAAATAAATAAATAAATAAATAAATAAATAAACAAGCAAGCAAGCTCTGGCTAACCCCAGTGGTGGGGGAACCCGGCAGGGTGCCTGGGCCAAGCCACCAGCCTCTCCATGATATACTGTGGGGCCTTGAGGATGTAGGCTTGCAGGGAGCCTGGGAGATGGCACAGGTGGGGACATGCAGAGACCTGAGGTGAGGAATGACCTCTGAAGGACTTGCATTGAAAAGACTACTGTTCCTGCAGATCTGAGCCTCCTCAGTGGCTTAGACAGAGCAGGGGATGGCATACCCAGATGCACACATAAGATAGGACAGCCCAATGGGGGCATGCAGAAGACATCTGCTACCATAGTAGAGGAGGGAGGGCAAATTGCCCAAGGAAGGTGGTAAGGAAATGTGTGGGAGGGAGGACTGGTGAGGGAGTGTGTTGCAGATGAGGAATGACTACTGAGAGACTTCCATTAACAAGGCCACTTTACTTGTAGGTAAGCAAGGGGGCTGAGACTGAGTGGTTTGGCGGGGACAACAGGAGGACCTTTGAAGCTCAGACCGAAGCACCAGCCCACGTGGGAGACCTGAGCGGGGCTAGATAACATCAACCACTCCTGAATACCACTCACTAGCACACACTAAAGCTAGGGGACTACCTGGCAGAGCTAGATCAAAGTACCAACCGGTGAGAGTTGGAACAGGGAACAGGTAATATTAGGCTGGGCCATGACACTAACTAGCAAGTGCTTAAGAGCCGGGAGTTGTGATGGGCTGAGCTGGGCATGACCGTTAAACCCTGCAACACTTATGGATACCGGGGTTGGGTAAAAGCTGGGCTGGCCCAGGCTACAGTATCTGCAGACACACTCAAGAATAGGGTGTGGGGCAGGCAGAGTTGCAACATCCACCAACTCATACAAAGGCCAGGATGGAGGGGAGCAAAGTATTCTGGGTAATGGTGTAGCATCTGCTGGAACATGTGCGATCTGGGTCTAGGAGTGGACCTGCTGGGGTAACTTGGGAAACTCTCCTGGCGGGTTGTAGCTCCCTTTGGTGAGCATGACTCAGGCCTGGGTGTTGGTTAGGCTGGTCAAGGTAGTATGCAAGTCTGTGGGTTGGTTCTGGAATGGGGTGTGGACTAGGCAGGGTTGGACCAAACCTTAGCACACTGGCATGTGCAGAAACAAGGCTGGAATGAGGACCATGCTGGACTAGGATATCACACTTACTGATATGCATGATCCAGGGATGGGAGTAGACTGAGCAGGGCTAGGATGCAGTACCAGCGGGAGTTGGGACTGGGGGCAAGTCGGGCCAGGCCAGGGTTTAGCATCCAATGGCAAAGGTCAACTCAGGAGATGGATTGTGCCAAACTGGATCAAAGGAAACACTGGTATGTGCAAGGTCTGTGACTGGGAACAGGCCTGGTTGGAGACCTAAGGGGATGCCTCGACTGGGTTGAGATTCCTACTGGTGAGCGCAAGAGGCAGGATAAGGGCAATGATCTGGTCTGGACATGACTGCAGTGTCCCTCGGCATGTGTGTGCACTGGGCCTGGGGTGTGCCAGACTGGGATAGACTCCAGCACCCACTGGAGCCAGGTTGTGTGTAGAATGGACGAAGCTCTTGACTCCTGTTAAACCATGCAAGACCTGTGTATGAATGTGGACCAGGTGCAGGTCAGTTGGCAAAGCCACTGTTCTTGCCAAGACAGGAGGTAGACTAAGTTAGCCTGGGTCGAGGAACCACCTGTGTGTGTGAGATGTGCCACTGAGAGGAGACCTGATGGAGGAGCTTGGGGAATTCCTCTGTCATAATGTGGTCCTTGCAGGTGAGTGTAAGAAACAAGGCAAGGAGCAGCTCAGCCCAGGCAAGGTTACAGTACCTGCTGGTATACATGTGGGTCAGCTCTGGGGGCAGGCCAGTTTGGACAGTTGGCACCCACTGGCAGATCTGAGAACCAGGAATGGGTGCAGGTCAGGCTGTGGTACCAGCCAGTTCACATTAAGGCCAGGACTAGGGGGCTGGCTGGCCGGGATAGGCTGAAGCATCCAGCAGCATGAGCTGGAATCTGGTGCAGACTGGGCCCGGCCAGGCTATAGCACCCACTGGCTAATGCCACGGTGATGCGGGGCATTCCAAACTGGGCAACGGCACCTACCAGTACACAAGAGACCTGTGGGAAGGTGTGCAAACCCGGTAGGGAGGCAGTGCAGACCCCCCTGCTGGGCCACTGCTCCCACTGGCAAGTATGAAAACTGGAACTGGGTGTAGACCAGGCCGGAAAGGGCTATAACACCTATTGACCTGCATGTAAGCTGGGCTAGGATGAGAACCAGGCTGGGCTAAGTGACAGTATCCACTGGTGCATGTATGAGCCAGAGTAAGTGCAGGCTGGTTGGGCTTTGCTGCAGCATCAGCTGGCAAGTGCTGGGACTGGGGACAAATCCTGTCAAGCTAGACTGCAGAAACACCTGGAGAGTGCAAGATCCAGGACTGAGAATGGGACCAGTAGGGAAACTGTGGGCTCCTCCCTGATTTGCTGCAACTCCCACTGGTAAGCATGAGAACCAGGGCTGGGGAAGGATATTGTAGCAGAAGATGGAGGGCAGAACAAATTAGCCAACTATCCCAACCAAGTGTTGACAGCAAATATCTGGGCGAATGGAGACTCCAAGTTGGACTATGTCAGCCAATGGAGCTTGGAAGGATTTCCTCATCCTTGGATCCACGAGATCAATAGCATTTCAGAACCATCGAAACCACTTCAGCAGAATCCTTGGAGCATAATCCACATCAGGGACCTTGCATTGATTGATATCGGGTACCTCTTTTCCATCCCTGGATGCTGGCGTGATTTGGAGACTGGGTGCAGCTTCATCACTTATCTCTCCCTTCCCCCAGATACAGGAAGAAGAAAAAGAAAATTTGGAAACATTCGTCGCGCCCACTTTCCCCTAATCCTCAATCCTTCTCACCCCGACCAACTCTGTAAACATCATCAAAAATAAATATATTTTTTTAAAAAGCGGATTCTGAAAGCACTTGCAGTTTTCATTTTCCGTTTTTTGCATATTTGTATTTTTGTTTTTTGTCTTCACCATTAACAGGCCATTCAGAAAGGTGATACAGAAGTTGCAAGGATACATGCTGAAAATGCAATTCGCCAGAAAAACCAAGCAATCAATTTCTTGAGAATGAGCGCTAGGGTTGATGCTGTGTCAGCCAGAGTTCAGACGGCAGTAACAATGGGCAAGGTAAGACTTACTATCTGTGAATCTTACAAAGGCTTTATTTAAATTTAATGGGTTACCACAAATTATACTACTGAGAGTTCCTTCAGGGAAATAATAAAAGTCTTCATAGGCACTAGAGTTGCAGTTAGATATTTCTTTATTTTTTTTTTTAGATGTGTAACAATACCAGATTTTAATATATGTTACAGGGGAGTTTCAATCAAAACACCCAGTCACTGGCACAACACTAGATATGTGGCCCAGTGGAACAGATCAGAAACCCCAGAAATTAATCCAAGCATCTACAAACAACATATCAATTCACAAACAAGCTAAAAACTGGTTTTTTTTAAACATTCCTCTCTTTAAATTTTGGAAGTATTATTTTCTTCTTTTTTAAAATTTAATTTTTTTGTGACATGGTTCCATAAGCTCAGGGATTTCCCCTTTTACTCCCATCCCCTCCCACTGATTTCCCCTATAGTGTTACAACAGTAGAGTCCTTCACAGGTCCATCACTCCACTGTTACGTGGATCCTGACATTATAGTTAAGGAAAATGTTAGAAGAATGGAGAAAGAAACTGTGGTGCACCTACTCTATGGAATGCTACTCAGCTATTAAAATGAATGAAATTCTACTGTTTGCAACAAAATGGTCCCAACTAGAGACCATTATTCTCAGTGAAATAAGTCAATCTCAAAGGGACAGATATCATACGTTCTCGTGATACAAGGCAACAATTCATGCAAAATACACTATCAATATAGATGGATAGATAGATAAACATGTATGTACATATATTTGCCTAGAGAAACTGTAAAATGGAAATTAGCATACTGAGAAGTGAAGATACACTGCAGTATGGGTCTCTATTCCCAAATAAAAGATGGACTCCTAATGAAGCTGTTAAATATATACTGACAATAGGATGCTTGGCTTTCTACCCAGATATTTTTAAAAAATTATTTTGGCAGTAGTTTTTACATTTGATCTTAGCCAAAAGGCTGAGAAGCAGTTGGCAGTCATTTTTAAACTAAGGTATAATTAGTTGCTTTCTCATGAACTGAAGAGACAAAGATATGAGTTAGCTGATGCTCAGGTCAGAAATACATAATATTGCCTTTCTATTATTAAGGAAATTTATATACAAGTTTCAAAAATTGTATCTGTAAGAAATGTATTTAATCAAATTAAACAATGAAAAATATTTTTAACACTTATATTCTAGGATGCTAGGTCTGTTACTGTTTTTTTTTTAATAGGTAACCAAGTCCATGGCAGGTGTAGTTAAGTCTATGGATGCTACGTTGAGAAGTATGAACCTTGAGAAGGTAAAAAACAAAACAAAACAAAACAAAACAAAACAAAAAAACACATAAATTTAATTGATATCATACAGTAGCTTATCAGTGTTTTTCTTTTGACTATATTTCTCTTTATAGATTTCTGCCTTGATGGACAAATTTGAACACCAGTTTGAAACCCTTGATGTCCAAACACAGCAAATGGAAGACACAATGAGTAGCACTACAACCCTAACAACACCACAAGTAAGAATCATTTCTACTTAAAATAACTTTGAAAATTACCCCCACCTCAAACCCTAATGGCTTTGCGAGCCATTGCATATCTCTATCTTGCTAAATAAATATGCAGTATCCCCCAAATATCTGGGGTAAAGTAGGTATATAATATTTACTAAATGGTGCTAAATACATTAACCTGTAACCCGATACTTTCAGAAATTTATGTATTTCCAGAAAATTATGTAGGAAGACACACACACACACACACATATACACTGTCTAAGTGTCCATTGTACCATTGTTTATTTTTTAATTAAGTGACCAGAAATAGAATTTATTAATCACATTGAATGTATTTCTTATGTTAGAATTAGTACATCTCTTAAGTGAATAAACTAGATCTGTGGATATCAATATAATTAAACTTTCTATGATTTATAGGAAAAGCAAGCTATAGAGTATTATACCATCTTTAAGTAAATGTTAAAATCATGCTATTTTAGATATGGAAAAATAGCAAAATGTTGATGCACTTAAGTATTTGATCTATTTTTTTTAAAGATTTATTTATTTATTGGAAAGTCAGATATACAGGAGGAGAGACAGAGAGGAAGATCTTCCGTCCACTGATTCACTCTCCAAGTGAGCACAATGGCCGATGCTATGCCAATCCAAAGCCAGGATCCAGGAACTTCTTCCTGGTCTCCCACGCGGTGCAGGTTCCCAAAGCTTTGGGCCATCCTTGACTGCTTTCCCAGGCCACAGGCAGGGAGCTGGGTGGGAAGTGGAGCTGCCTGGATTTGAACCGGTGCCCATATGGGATCCCGGGGCGTTCAAGGCGAGGACTTTAGCCCCTAGGCCACGTGCTGGGCCCAATATTTGATATATTTTTAATAAACTTTTTTTCCGAATACTTAGAAATATTTTGAAATGAGTAAAATTGAAAAACAGAAACTAAGCGTCAACAGCTGAAGGTTAGCAATTTGCCTATAATCATACATCCTAGAACTTTCTTGTATGTTCAAACTATTTTTAACAAATTAGCAAAAAATGGATTTTGATTATTAAGACTGTTCCCTCAGAACTGTAATATTGTTAAGTTCCTTAATATAGCACCCCTCTGGGCCCAGCACGGTAGCATAGTGGCTAAAGTTCTCTCCTTGAATGCCTGGGATCCCATAAGGGCGCCAGTTCTAATCCCGGCAGCTCCACTTCCCATCCAGCTCCCTGCCTGTGGCCTGGGACAGCAGTCGAGGATGGCCCAAAGCTTTGGGACCCTGCACCCGCGTGGGAGACCTGGAAGAGGTTCCTGGCTCCTGGCTTCTGATCGGCATAGCATCGGCCGTTGCGCTCACTTGGGGAGTGAATCATCGGACAGAAGATCTTCCTCTCTGTCTCTCCTCTGCTCTGTTCATCTGCCTTTCCAATAAATCTTTAAAAAAAATATATAGCACCCCTCTGTATCAGTGGGGGTTGCCCCAGAACCTTTCCACAGATACCAACATCCATGAATATGTACATTTTCCTGGGAAAAATGTATTTGCATTTAAAACCTCTCGACACTATTTATTGATATTTAATATGAGGTAAATACTTTGCCTGAAGTTATACTGCATTAGTTAACGAATAATGACCAAAAATGTCTACATCTGTTCAGATACAATTTCCCCCAAAATGTTTTCAATCTGCACTTTGTTGAATATGTGTATTCAGCTATGGACACAGAGGGACAACTATACCATTTTATTCCTCTCTAGATTTATCCTCAATATCATGTTTGTTCTGACAGAAGAGAACAATTAGATTTTCTAATCTAAAATTTAAATTGATTTCAGTTTAAAGAAAAACAAAATGGGTTAGAAATGGAACTTTACAAATTGGCTTACTATCTTAGAGCTACGTTACACAAATTCAAATATGTGAATCAGAGCATGCCCCACATCCGGGACTTAGGGTGGGTGGGAAACTGGGTGGGGCTTCTTCCTCTATATCCCCCTTTAGGCCTTGAACCTTTTTTTTTATCCCAATTAAATATGTAAAGATTGTCAAAATAAAGAAAAAAAAGAAAAAAAAAGATTTAGGCTTTAAGACAAATGTTATTTCAGAGGAAAAAACATCTTGTTCTGAAAGAACTCCACTCCCTCTGGTGGTTAAAAAAATATTTTATAGGGCCCGGCGCGGTGGCGCAAGTGGTTAAAGTCCTCGCCTTGCACGCCCGGGATCCCATATGGGCGCCGGTTCTAATCCCGGCAGCCCCGCTTCCCTTCCAGCTCCCTGCCTGTGGCCTGGGAAAGCAGTCGAGGACGGCCCAAAGCTTTGGGACCCTGCACCCGCGTGGGAGACCCGGAAGAGGCTCCTGGCTTCGGATCGGCATAGTATCGGCCCGTTGCGCTCACTTGGGGAGTGAATCATCGGACGGAAGATCTTCCTCTCTGTCTCTCCTCTCTGTATATCCGCCTTTCCAATGAAAAAATAATAAAAATAAATCTTAAAAAAAAATATTTTATAAAATAAGCTTCCTTTTAGAAATTATAGACCATTTCTTTTTTTAAAACAAAAATGCAAGCAAGAGCCACTCAAAAGGCAAATACTATTAAAATACAAGTTTGGGGAGTAGTTGTGGTTGTTGTCCAGTGTTTAAGCCACCACTTCAAACACTGTATCTGAGAGCCTAATGAGTCCTTGCTCTACCTCTGACGCTTTCTGACAGCTGGTACACGGGTACAGCAGGTGATGCCTCAAAGGCCTTGGTCACTGCCTCTCATATGGAACATCTACATTGAATGTGAATTTCTTGGCTTCCGCCTGCCAAGTTGCAGGTGTGGCAGACACTTGGGAGGCAAATCAGTAGATGTGTGACCCATCTCTCTCCCACCCTCCCTGCCTCTCTCCTTGCTTCTTTTTTGTTGCTGTCACTCTCTGTCTCTGCCTTCCTTTCTCTGCTGTTCAAATAAATATAAATAAATAATAGTTTTAAATGGAAATTCTTATTTTCTTTTTCTAGAACCAAGTGGATACTCTGCTTCAAGAAATGGCAGATGAAGCTGGGTAAGATGCCTTTTAGATACATTGGGGTCATTTTGATTAAACAGCAGGAGGTTCTGAAATTCTCAAATGTGGATGAAAATGCTTAATATTCCCAATGGTCATTGTTAGGTTTTGGACCCTAGTTTTCAAGGATCTTTGAACAGTCGTGCAGTTCCTTGCTATGTTTGTAAACGTGTAACTTAGTTCGAACCATCTTGATATTCCTTAAAAATCCCTAGCAACAGACTCACTTGGTGTGTTATGGGAAATGCTGGTAAGTAATCAATGGAGGCAGGAACATTTGCAGGTATGTGGTGTTCATAGCATATCAAATATCTGGTTTATAAGAAAAGAATCTTCTAAAAACAGTTAGACTATATGCAGTTCTTGGAGTCAGATGTCTGGTTTTAATCATGAAAATAGAGCCAGATATGCAAAATGTTCAAGGGATTCAAAATACAGCAGCATCGCAAATGGTCATTTGTGGGTTTTTTTTTTAGAGAAATAATTGATAACCATTTATGGTATTGCTTTTAGACATAGTGTATCTGATATGGGCTATTTGATCCAGGTACTTGATGTTTGAAGAAGTAACTTGACAATGCTGTAAACATACGTTACATCAGTACTCTATGATACACTGGATTCAGATGCAAGCACCCTGTGTTGGAGTGCCTGTTCATGTCCCAGCTACACTGTTTCCACTGCAGCTCCCTAACAAGCTTGGGATGCAGCTGATATGACTGAAGTACTTAGGGTTCCTGTCAAGCACATGGGAGACCCAGATGGAGTTCTCAGCGCCTGACCTTGGCCTGGCTCAGGCCCAGCTATTGCAACCATTTGGGGAGTGAACTAGGAAATGAAGAATCTCACTTTCTGTCCTCTTTTTGTCACTTTGTCTTTCAAACAAAAATTTTTTTTTTCAGAAAAAGAACAAGAATGTATTTTAAAGATAAAGGTTAAAACTGGATGATGCTGATGTTTTACACTTCATCTTTAAAAAAGTAATAGGTTAAAATTGGGTTTTATGTACTGTATTTTTTCTCTTGGGAAGAGAAAAGATATGAAGACACCTAGAAAATAGTTTATAAATATTTCTCTTGTGTAAGCTGATAGCTAATTAGCCTGAACAGTTTATGAGTTCTTGAGATAGTCACTAATAAGTTGTAACACAATGTAATAAGTTGAAATTCAGGGTTTCAGTGTTCTAGAGCGAGGTTAGAGATTAGGTTGTATACTGTTTTTGTTATTACTATCCTGATGTAGACAATTGTCAATACAGGGAGGTGGAAAAAATGGTGACCTTTAAATATTAGAAAAATGACCAAATCATTGTGTGTCAGATGACTATCTTAGTAGTAAGGGACTAAGATCTTATTTCTACTAAAAACTTAACAAGGGTTCAACATGTTGACGTAGCACGCTAATCCTCTGCTTGCAGTGGTGGCATGTCCCAGCTGTACCACTTCTGATCCAACTCCCTTATGGCCTGTGACAGCAGCAGAATATGGTTCAAGTCCTCGGGCCCCTGCAGCAGGATTTCTCAACCTCAGCACTGTTTGACGTTTTGGAATGCGTAATGCTTAAGGCTGTGGTATATGTCAAGGATGTTTTAGCAGCATTTTTGGCCTCTACCTGCTAAATCCCATCAGCATTCTTTTCAACAGTCGTGACAGCCAGATATGCCTCCAAAAAGTACTAGTTGTTCATTGTGGATCCAGGGACCAAAATTGAGAGATTGATTATTTCAATAAAGGATGATGCCTGGCCCAGTAGAAACAGCTGGAACCACTGACGTAGAAATATTGATGCCAATCATTAAAGGTGTTTAAGTTTCTGTTACCATTTGTGATTCTCTCAACCAAATTTTAGTTCAAGTGAAACATCCCTTTCTGATCTCAAATATGAGAGGTCAAAATCTGAACCTTTTTCAATTAAAGCTTTTCTTACTGTTTTGAAAGTTAGCAGTAAAGAGGGCTAGAGACCTTTCTGCCATCTCCTGGTTCACTCCCCAGTTACCAACAGCAACCAAGATACAGCCAGGTTGCAACCAGGCACTTGGAACTCTACGCAGGTCTCTCATGAGCTTGCAAAGATCCAAATACAGAAGCCATTATCTGCTGCCTCGAAAGCGTGACTAGCAAGAAGCTGGATTGGAAGCAGAGGAGCCAGCATTCAAACCAAGCAATCTAATATGCAATATGGGCTTTGCAGACTTACTATTCTACCACAACACCCACCCTAAAGCCAAAATATTTTGAATGTTACAATGCAACTTAAAAGTTTTGGATTTTGGTATAATTTTGAACTTCAGACTTCTGGAATAGGGATGATTGAAAGGCAAAATCTGTACAAAATTCAATAAAGTATAATTTTTGGATATTCCAAAATGTGGAGAACTCCAAAATCTAAAATTTCTGGTTTCAAGCATTGTGTAATAAGGGACACTCAACTTGTGTAGCACATGTTTCCATTTTTAAATAAAAAATCTCTGCATCGATTCTCATAGTGAATATTAAAGGTACTATAGTTCTTGAGAAGTTTTGAAATGAGCATTCATTAGTTTAGAAATAAACAGAAAGGATTGTTTATAAACCATAAGAGTAGTACAATGGAGATTAAAATTTTGGTGGTAGACAATCATAAATTCAAATTCTATCACTATCATTTCGGTGATCTTGCGCAAGTATCCTTAACTTTTTTGAGAGTTTCTTGTATGATTGGATGCACTCATTTATCTGGTAATAGTAGATGCCTAAATTTAGTTAACTCAGAAATTTCATATGGATTCTAAAGCTAAATTTATCTTGCTTATTTTAGCTTTTTTTCAACATTATTAATTTTCTTTCACATATTCATCTCTAGTACATCTAGTGACTCATGTGACCATTATTTTGGTCTTTTGTTCGGAAGTTGGGAACATTTCCCTGTACATTTGCAAAGTTGTGATTTAATATTTCGGGATGTAGATATTTAGCATGTGTTTGAGTTCATTTATAAAATCAAACCTGATTTATTTTCATTTGAATTATGGTATAATATAGATGGAGTGTTTGAATTTTCAATGACTATTTTATTGCTTATTATAGTTGGATAAGGAAGAAAAATACCTATATTGACACATATATGCTAATCGATTTTAAATTAATTTTTAGCCTTGATCTCAACATGGAACTACCACAAGGTCAGACAGGTTCTATTGGCGCAAGTGTTGCTTCGGTGGAACAGGTAGAGATTTTTAAAATTTATGTTGATTGTCTTGCCTTTAATATATATGTATTTTTTAAATGTAGCAAAATGACACATAAACATTTACATAAATTAAGCATTTATGTGTCTGTTTTCACTTTTTTTTTTTACAAAGAGTGTTTTTCTACTCTAATGTTACATTGTTGTAAATTAGCAAAATGCGATTGGTGCAATGATGGACGTTCTCTGCATATACATTTCATTCAGAGATTGGATTCCTCCCCTTCATAGCCTCTGCTCTGTCTGCTGAAGTATTCAAAACAATTAAACTCTTGATGTTGGTGTTGTGAGTTTCTGAGACTACATGTTAAATCTTATTTGAAGTGTGAGACGTTGAAATTATTACTCATTTATAATTGTCATAGCCTGCTGACTTGTAAAATTTGCTTTCTCCAGGATGAACTATCACAAAGACTTGCTCGTCTACGTGATCAAGTGTAACTTGAAGAATGAGTGCTTCTGCTTGCTTCTGAAGGGGTCGTTGCATACGTGGGTGGATTGTACTCCAATTAGACTGAAAGTACTATGCATAAATATAGGAATACTTAAACATATACAAATACCATTTGTATATAATGTTTGCCTTTGCCTTGCTGTATTTTATACTTAAAGAAATTCGAAGGAGTGTTCACCTTAACAGATTTTGTAGTTGTGTATATTAGGTGCAATAGGGATAAGGAATATATTTTTGTAAGAGATGGCACTAGCTTCATATATGTTATACATTTTCCTCAAAAGTCAGATTAAAACAAAAAGCATCAGAGTACTTCTAAAGTACTTCATACAGAATATACAACAAAGTTTTTTTTTAATTTTAAAGTTGTTCTTAATCTCTGATTTTAGTGATATGTGGCTCATAGAAATAATTAAGAACAGGGAAAACTTGTTTATCTAATATGTTTGCATAGCCAAAACACCTCATTTAGTGTCACACCATGGACAATGCCTGTTTGTGTGCCTTATGTTTGTTTTTGTTTGAAACAAAGATGTAATTGACTTAATCTGTTCATCAACCTTTAAACTATATACAGTAACAACATGAGTATTGCTTTAGCCCTATGATTTTTTAAAAATGTTTAGTTGGTGATTTTCCTACATAATTAGAAATATTCTGCCACATTTAATCAAAGAAATTAAGGTTTATTTGCTCAGATTATCTCTTTGTTCAACCTCATGTGAAGACTCCCAGAAAAGTTCTAACCTTTCAGCTTTACAAGTGAAATTTTAAAGCATGTTTAAATCATTCTCTTTCATCTACTCGACTCTTAACTCTTTCTATGCTCTATTTTTAAAATAGGTTAATTTGCATGATATGCATTATTATTTACATTTTTCCATATGATTTTTGGTGTTCTAAAATCTTGGTCTGTATTTTTAACACCACCTACAAAATGACAGCAAAGAAAACAAAATTGAATGAACTCAAGTTACAACTACTACCATCCCCAGTTCTTTCTATTCATTCTTTTGTTGTTGTTGTTAAAATGATAACTCTTATCAAAACTACTTGAGCAGAGCCCTCAGAGCATGGACCCTAGGATGAGAGTGGGAGGCTGTTCCCCATTCCCAGGCACTGAGGAGTGGCTTTTCACCATCTTTCCCCTCCCCCCCAGGCACAGGGTCCCCCATCTCTCCCCTCTCCCCAGGCACAGGGTCCCCCATCTCTCCCCTCTCCCCAGGCACAGGGTCCCCCATCTCTCCCTTACTCTCAGGCACCACAGAAAGAAGAAAAGGAAAATTTGGAAACAATAATCTCACTTACTTTGCCCCTAACTCTCTACCCTTCCCACCCTAATCCACTATGTAAACATTTAAAAAATTGTATAAAGTTAAAAGAAGTAAATACAAAAAATAACTCAAATAATTGCAAGAAACAAAGTGAAAATAATTTGTTTTGTTCAGTCATGCAGATAACTTCCAGCCTAATAGATGGTAGTAGCATAGTATAAGCTACAGAAGGACCCCAGATTCATTCATTTGTGAATAGACTCCGGGAACAAGGAGTTCTTGGTGGGGAGGGTGGTGATATTTGATAAGAAGCTGTGCCACTTGTCTTTTTTTCATTAACAGCATTCTTTATCTATTTAGAAACTATTTGTTTAACTAAAATGAACAAATCAGCATGTGTCTGCAGTTTTCTGATGTAACAGTCTCAAATGTGGAGAAGTGACCAAATTGTGTTTTCCCAACTATCCTAACATAGGTCAAGTAGGTTAGGTACTTTTCTTTATTTACTGCAGGATTAATTCACGAGAAAAGGGTTTTCAATGTTGTATAAAGTTCTCTTAAAGAGCAAATCTATTTAGAACATCTTTCCGTTGTCGAGGCCTGCATTTTGGCATGATAGATAACATCACTGCCTACAGTTCTGGTTCGCATACGGGCCCTGGTTCGTTCCCAGCTGCTCTACTTCTGATCCAGCTCCCTGCTAATGATCTATTAAAAAGAAATGAGCCCCGGTCACGGGTGTGGGAGAACTGAAAGAAGTTTCTCCTTAGTCATGACCCAGTCCTGGCCATTATAGTCATCTGGGAATGTATCAGTGGAAGAAAGGTCTCTCTGGTTCTCACACTCCCTCTTTCTGTAACTACATTGCAAATACATCTTTTTAAGTCATGAAGACATTCAAAGTACAATTCTGGAAACACTTGCTGACTATTCACATTGATACATGATGTTTCCTACTGTGTGTGATAACATATTTGAGTAAAACACTGGATTCACTGATAATGGAAATGAGAAACTGCCACTAATTTGGGGATAGAATCTATTTAACAGTCTTGCTCTACTTGATCTTATGGTTGTGACCTTATTGTAGACATTTTCTATTTTATTTATAATTGATGCATTGTCCTTTCTAGTAAAAGAGTAAATAGATTTGTTTTTAACAGGAACATTATGGAGATTTAGGAGATTATCACAGACTAGAACATCTATGAAAAAAGTTTATTTTTCATGAACAGGAACTGTGCAGCTGTTCTGTTGACTTGTGTAAAAAATGTGACTCACTTTTTAAAGCTATGGAAATATATTCTGATATAAAGAGAACTACTCATACTATTTTTTTTTACAGATAATTCATTGGTCTTCTAAAAGTATCAATGAAGAGATATCAGGTTTTACTGCTAGGTTCACCTGTTATCTGATACATGTATTGAAAATTCTTTTCAAAGAACTCTTCTTAAGCTAGCAGTCTCAAAACCAATGATTTCTTACTTTTTTAGTATAATCACATTTTAGTCAAATAATTGACAAAAATAATTTTAAAGTAACACATCAGACAATACTATCATGGAAGATAGATTTCATAGCACATTCATCTGTTTTCGTTAAATGCAGCTGATACATATGTTATTCATCTCTGACTCTGATCCTGACTCCTGGCTTAGCTAATTCTTCATCCACTTCTGTGCCTTGGAGTAGATTTCTATAAGTCTTTTCAAAGAATATTGATTGCATAAGTATCAGTAAGTAGCTGCAGTACAATAAATTTCCCTTCTATTCTTTCCTGTTTCCTACCATCTCCCAAAAAGAATCCTCAATGCACTGTTAGGATGTTATGAATCTTTGTGTCTTTGTATCATTTTTTCTCAGAAGTCCTTGAGAAGACCTCTAGTTTCTACAGAAAGGGAACTCTGAATACCAGAGAGTTTTAGATTTATCATAGTTCTTGAAAGCATATTATGTATTAAAAACAATACTTTGGGTCTGATGCTGTAGCCTACTAGCTAAAGTCCTCGCCTTGCATGGCCAGGATCCCATATGGGCACCGATTCGTATCCCAGCTGCTCCATTTCCCACCCATCTCTGTCCTTGTGGCCTGCAAAAGAAGTCGAGGATGGCCCAAAGCCTTGGGACCCTGCACCCACGTGGGAGAAGAGGCTCCTAACTCCTGGGTTAGGATCAATTCAGTTCCAGCCATTGCAGCCACTTCAGGATTGCACCAGCAAATGGGAGATCTTTCTCTCTGCCTCTCCTTCTTTCTGTAAGTCTGTCTTTCTAATAAAAATAAACAAATCTTTTTTTAAACAAATGGAACAATGTTCTGTCTGCTTTAATATATTGCTGGATTTATTTATTCCTCAAAAGAATCCTATGAGCAGGTGGATGGTCATTGTCCCGAGTTTATAAACTAGGAAGTAGACTGACAGCTTAAATACATTGACTAAATTCCTAAAGCTACTGTAAAACAGAGCTGGGGTTTTATTACAAAGGTGGCTTGCTTCAAGTCATATGCTCATGTCACTATACTACACCTGGCTTTATTCCTTCTCCATAATGTCATTCATAGCATAAAATATGTTGATTTTATTGTTGAACAGATGGTGAAAACCGAATAAAATTCTTGACAGAAGGTAGTTCAACCATAAACATGTGTTTAGCAGAGTCACTGTAGGTGAGGATTGGGTTTTTTTTTTTTTTTTCAGTCCTGTCAACAAAACCTGGTTTTCCTCAAAGACTAACAAGTGAATCAGTTTGTTCTAAAGTTGATTAGATTGTACTCAAACTCAAGCTTTTCATTCTCCACACTGAAAAGTATTCTCACACAGGGAGATATCCTCACTATGCAATTAAAATTGCAGAAATGAATTCTGCTAACGTGTTGATCACTTTTGTCTATATTTTTTAAAATACACTGCTTTTCTACTGTAAAAGAAAGGACAAAGTTTTGGCAATCCTTTGCTAAAAATAAATGACTCAAGTGAGTGTAATATTTAAGTAGGTTATGTTTTAATTACTAATCCATGAGTTATTTTGTCCTCAAGACAGCTAAAAGCCCTTCCAACCTCCGCTTAGGAAAGTCCACATAGATTGTTAAAGGGAAATTTACTCCTGTAAAATAAATTACTTGTAGTGTTTTATGTTCTTGAACTTAGCAAAGGAAGGAAAGAAGTTTCATTTAATGTGTTATTTGGTCTTTAAGGTGAATTTGAACCCCATGTTGCAAATGAAGTTTCATAAAATGAACTCTATGCACGTCTTAAAAATCTTACTCAAAGTCATTCATGCTGGAGCTTGACATATTTAAATTTTTAGTTATCATTGTGAGGATAGGTAGAAGTTTTAGAAAGCAACAAAGCACAGTGATTTTATTTCACTCAACGTAAAGGGAATTGTGTGTTGAACAACACCTTTCTGTGTGAAATATTTGCTATTTAGATTCAACCAAAGAAATTCTTAGTAACTACGGGCTGGTGTTGGGGCTTAGGGGGTAAAACTGTTAACCTGTGATGCCAGCATCGCTGATAGGCACTAGTACATTTCCTGGGTGCTCTACTTCCAATCCAGCTCTCTGTTGATGGTCTGGGGAAAGCAACACAGGATACATGCCCGTCACTCACGTAGGAGACACGAATGAAGCTAATGGCTCAGCCTTGGCCATAGCAGCCACTTGGGGAGTGAACCAACAGATCAATCTCTGCTTTTCTCCCTAACTCTGACTTTAAGTAAATCAATCATAGAAAAGTCTGCGAAACCATCTAGGGTTAGGTAAAAGCACAGAGTGACATGATGGAAGATGCTTTTCCAGACAAAAAGGCAACAAACTTCCAGCCACTGTATCTGTTAAGATTTATCAATGTCGTGGTGTAGTGGGCTAGTCCTCAGCCTACAATGGCAGCATCCCATATGGATGCCAGTTCTTGCCCCAGCTGCTTCACTTCAAATAAGACTCCCAACTTAGGGTTTGGGAAGACCGAAGAGAATGGCTCAAGTCCATGGGCCCCTGTACCTATGTAGAAGACCAGGAAGAAGCTCCTGGGTTTGGATTGGCTCAGCACTGGCTGTTGCAGCTGCTGGGGAGTGACTCAACTAATAGAAGACCTCTCTCGTTGTCCTTCTTTCTCCAAAATCTGCCTTACAAATAAAAATAAATAAATGTTAAATGAAAATATTTACCAAGTCATCATGACTTTTTGAGAGCTTCTAGGAGAAATTACCCTTTAGAAAAAGAAAATATGGAATCCAAAATCAAATTTATTTCATGTGTGGGACATATTGAATGCTCATAGACAACAAATCTCAGTTGCCTGGCTGAGGAAAGCAACACCATCCCTATGGTAGATAACCAGAATGTAT